GGGGGGTAAGTGATGGGATGGGTGGTTTGCCCAAATAGGCTATTTTCGTGCCACAAGTTTGTTTTGTGCAAAAGTAGGAGATTGCTGCGGATCCTCTCAATGGACCATATTTAATCCTTATTTCGTCGATAGATCGACTTGTATGCACACAAGTAAGGCAAATTCAAATGTGTATGGCACATGCTGCATTTCCCATCTATGACAATGTTTATTTCTAGTAGTTATCCTGCTTCTTGTTAGTTCTCTCTCTAATTCGAGGGGCCTTTTGGGAAATTAGATTTCCGACATGGATGCTGTACAAGGCCTGTATCTTGTATTTTTAGTTGACTAGTTTATTTGAGTAAAACATTGTTTGTTTTATGAAGAAAATAAAAGGACACGAATTATAGGTTGGAAGAAAAGGAATTTAAGACTGTTTCAGGGAAAACTAGAAGTGCTGATATGCTGATCAAGACTGTTATCCAGCAAGAGGGAACCTAAAGCCAAGTCGAGAAATGAAGTTGAGATCCTTGAATTTGGCCAAGGACGGGAAGTTGAGATCACCTTCATATTAAACAAGCATGTTGCTGATTAAGAAGTTCACCAGACCACATATTATCTATTTTCTTTCGGCCTCCTAATAATTGACCAATTTTTTTTTTATAACCGTTATGTACGGGCCAACTTGCGCAAGGCTTGGACAAATCGGAAGAAATCACCTAGTATTTTTGCCTCCGTTGGGATTTGAACCTGAGACTTCATAGTTCTCATCCACTTCATTGACCACTAAGTCACACCCTTTATTGCATAATTGACAATATTAATAATAGGTATGCTTTATTGCATATGTAATCTTGCCTCAAAAAGTGGTAAAACATATTACGCCGCACAAAATAGCTTCGATTCTGCATGCTATTGACACCCTTATTCTGATAATTCACTTCTTCCAAATAGATGTCAATTACTATCATTTATCACATAGAATCAACGATCTCTCTGCAGCAATGCAACCCTAGGAATCATTGCTGGTATACATCGTGCGACAAATCAATTCCCCTTCCAAAGAATGATTCACAACAGGATAGATGCATAAAGTTAAAATTTCACAATGGATCTAACCGGTCTCGAATAAATTTCACAACGGATCTAACCGGTCTCGAATAATCCTAGTATAACATTGATTGTTAACTAATTTTTCATTTATTCTACAACTGTTCTTGTGTTATTATGTTTTCGCTAGGTGTTTATCATTACACCCACTGAATTTTCCCTGGAGAGACAAATAGTGTTGACTCATACATATACTAAATCAAGCTGCTGAATGTCTAATCTAAATGTTATAAGCGAATGGGTTGCACCCTTACGATGGAATTGTCCATCGTTACATCCTCTAAAGATAGCTTACCAAGTATTGAGATAATACAAGCAAGAAGTTATTTCACGTAAAAACAGGACTCTGCAATACGAACTTAAAAATGTGGTTGCAAAAGAAAGCTGATGGCCAAAAATATATTAACATCTGCAGATACTTTACATATTTAGCCTGGAAATAATCAGAGCACCAGAATGATGATATTGAACCTCCATTAGCGGCTTAGATTTATTCGAGAACTGCCTTATTCCCTTAAATATCTCTAGGAGGGAACTGATAATAGTTGCCATGATACATCTCTCCGTCACATTGGTGTGGGAGAGTGAAAAAAAGAACTGTTTGTGTAGCAATCAAGATTTATTTTGGTTCTTCTAATATCTTAGTAAAGCAGAATCAGCAAGTTAACCTAAGTGACCTTCGAGACTGTAGCAACCTTCAGATAAACAATGTAACATTTGTGTAGGTTTGATAATTCCTGATCTGTACAATGCACATCAGTTTCACATAGCTATCTTCAAATGTTGAAGCTGAAAATTCTGCAGGAATAATAAGTAGAACTTTTGTCAGGACATTGCTTCAAACCTGATTATTCGAGAAGTATGGACATTCTGGTTTGATAGGAATCCCAACGATGAAGCATTAAGCTTGTCTATGTGTATGACCTCCAGCTTGATAAAGTGTAAGACGGTGGATCGCTTTGCCAAACAACTCCTTCAAATCAGGACGCTGAGAAACTACATGACGAGCAGCTCCCTCAAGGAAGCTTAATGCTCTTGCTTGCTCAAGGGCCTTACTGTTACCAACATGTAAAGCAAGGTAGCAGAGCAATAGAAGCTCGTGTACCTGGCCTCGGTCATTGCTCCTCAGCAAATTCATCAGCTTTGGTACTCCATCGAATTCAACAATTGCCTTTGAATGCTCCACGCGATTAAAATTGTCCGGACATGTGAATTTCTCCAAAGCAATACATGCTTCCACAGCTACATCAGTATTTCTATGCCCAAGTTTAACCACTATAAGCTCAATGATTCGTGTGTCCTTTGCAGGAAATGTCCTAGCCAAACATCCAATTGCCTTAATAGCTGGAATCACCAATGGGGCGCTGGTTTCCTCATTTATCACCCTTAATAGCTGATCAATAACCGCCTTTCCAGCAGGTGAAGTAGGCTTGAACGCCACTCGTCTAAGTTCAACATTAGACTCTGCCACTGCGGCCAATTCCATCACTGTCATCAGACAGTTAATCTGCAAATCCCCTTTCTCCTTCTCAATAATCTTTGCCAAACAAAGCAAACCCTTAGCCTCAGTAATCTTCCTGGTATTTAACAAACTACCTTTAGCCAATTTCCACAGTGCCATTGCACAGCTTACCTTAAGCTTAGCTTTCACCTCAGGGGGCTCCAATTCTCTATCTTTCTCTTTCTTATTACCATAATGTCCACCTCTACTACTCCCATCCATTGAATTAGAATGAAAACTAAAATTATTCCGAGCCATCTCTTTATTTATCTGAACTAAAGAATGTAAACTAGGCGTCTTACGGGGCTGTGATTCTCTGTTATCATCCAAAACTACATCCATTCCTAAAAGGGTTACCAACGGCCTAGTTATATTCTCTCTTCCAAATTCTTCCTGTGCGTATGCGTCCAAATCAGCCATTCTTGAGACCAAATTCGCAATGTGAATTTGAACTCTCATGGGCGCTTCAGCGAGCACCTTTACAACAATTTGAACACCAAGATCATTTGCTATTGCTCTCACTCTTTCCTCATCGTCAGCCAAGTTGTACAAAGCAGTTGCCGCAGCAATTTGTGCTGCTGCTGAACTGCTTTCCTTCAGTAGCTTCAGTAGAGGCGGAATTCCGTTTTCTTCCACAATCATTTTTTTATTGCGGTTATTATCGCGTGCTAAATTAGCTAATTCCTGAGCAGCGTCAATTCGGTACTGGAGATTACCCATTTGAACAGTAGCGATGTAAGACCAAACCCAAGCCATAATAGGGTCGTTGCTGGCAATAGGGGGAAGTGAAAGAGTGGGGCCCGCATCCGGGTCGAAAATGGAGAGCAGCCACGTGACGTCCGCCGTGGAATTTTCTAGAAGGGTAGAGACTTTCCGGAAGTCTGCAGTAGAAGTGATGGCGAGAACATGGCGGAGGAGATTGGGCTTGTGACGACACTTGCGAACAAGAGTAAGTGCCCGGTCCAGAGTTTTGGTAACTTCAGAAGTTATACGGCGGATGGGACGGTCGTAGAGGGACTGGGATTGGGACGAACTGGTGAGACGAACAGTGGCTCGGAGGAATTGGCTGAGCTGAGTAGCGTGACGAGCCAGTTCGGCACATTCCACTTTGGATGATTCAGCTTCTTGGGCTGATTTAATGACTCTGTCAGCAAGTAAAATCGGAAGTGAAAGCTCCTCTTGCACTGATTTCTCTTCTTCCGCCATCAAAATTGAGTTCTTCGAATTGGTAAAGGGGTTTGAGGGAGGGGACGAGAAGGATAAAAAAACTAGCAGCAGAATTTCTATACTACAGTAGTATAATAATTGGGAGACCAGCTGACATACCTTCTTTTACACAGAAAATTAATGGGAACTAGGAATTTTAAGAATTTAAAAGAGATTAATTAACATATCTTGACGGAGTTGTTTAAGCGATTTCATAGTACTCTGCATAACAGTATTCCGTATAAAACAGTGGGTGAATCATGTTTCCACAAAAGTCAATGGGTCAATGAATAAAATAGGTATTCGGATAAAGTTTGGTATGGGGTATATCGCTTTAGGAAAAATTCCTGTGGCAAGAACAAAAGAAAACTTATCGACACACGTATTTACGCTGAAACCACACTAATTAGAACATTTATGTATTACTAATTGACAATTGAACCTGTCGTACCCGCTTATTCACGCCACAATGAGTTGAACACTTTCCTAATTCAAAGAAAAAGATACTGTATGTGTCAAAATTTGACTAGAATGGTCGTTCTTAAAAGGAACAATAAGGGGTCGATCAAGCTGTGATCATGCTCACGGGGCGGGATAGCAAAGAGCATCTCGGCCCTCGCCGGGGTCAAGTCGTCGGAAAACGTACATCACAGGACGAACGTTGTGCTCGAGCAGACGACGAAAGGTACAGTTCTTAAAAAAGTACGCTGGTTAAAGACCGTTGGACAAAAGAGAAATGAACTATATATATATGGGGGGAAACCCAGAAAACAGGGGCAGATTCTAGGAGATAAAGGGGGACAATAGAGAAAACAAGAGGGATCTCTTCATCTTCAACAGTGACCTCTCTTCCCCTTCCTTGCTGCCATGATTATGATGCATATCAGCCTTAGATGTAAGCTCATCTCTCATGTTCAATATACGATTATTACATTAAAAAATCTTACACGTTTTTATTCTTCGTCTATTTCGCACTTTGTATGTTTGGATCTGGGATTAATTATGTTTGGCTAAGATTTACCTTCTTTATTATCAATAATTAGTTCGGCAAATGAATTTTACACTTTTTTGGTCAAACAATTTGGCGTCGTCTGTGGAAATTTCTTAGCCAAATTTCTTACTTTTCTTCAGATCTAGAACCGGCGAAATGTCATCACCCGCTCAAAAGAGCAGTAAATAAACCTTTGAGACAACCGTACTAATCTAGGTCAGGCTGCTACATAAAAGTAGAAGTTATAACCAATATCTATGCAAAACTCACATCTCGCCAGTAGCGATAGGGTTAGCACGATGTACGCACATTCAAAATAGGATCAGGGTCATCTAGCATGACCACACCCCCATTTTACGCATTTACCATAAATAATAACCCGCATTCCCACCCTTCATGAGGGGATGACAGCTTGTTGCACAGTCCTTTGAAAGAATGGGCACATCCTGCCCTATTGTCACATTCCCACACGCATTGAATGGTCCATGAACAAAGTATGACATATTTCCCTTGTTGTTGGTACAAATCGAACGAGATCGGACCGGGACTCGATTCCAACACTTCAACAAGTGAGGTGGGCCCAACCCGCGCGAAGCCTAGACGCTGTTAAAAACGGAGCTGAACACGGCCACCAAATCTAAAACCACCATTCAAACACCAGGAAAAGCGAGTGACGCTACAACGCCGCTCTTTTCGCTGACCCGTTGGATCGAGGTACGGAAAATTTCATTCTGGTTTATCCTCTGTTGTTGGTTTAAACAAGAACACGAGCACTCGCACAGGCAAGCGAGCAAAGGAGCATTCCAACTAGAAACAATGGAAGGAAAACCACTACAAAACAATTGGAATATCGCCCATCTCAAATACTTCAACTTCCGGAAAAGGACAACCCTCAAGTCGCACTCTTTTTCCCTTGCCTGGGTGTCGTCCCAGTTGGGTTTTCTTGGGGAGGCTTTTAACGAGGGGAACGTCTCGAAGTTCAAGTGTGATTCATCACCCCACCTATTGACTACTTTCCCATACCGGGCAATGAAGGGACTAGATACATGGAAACTTCTCCAATATATGTATGAAACGAAGGAGGACAAAAAAACACAGAAGAGAAACTTACCCTCAGGTCCATAGGGGCCACTTCATGCATTAACTTGACGTCGCTAATGTCCCGAAGAGCCTCACACTCTGCGGCGGAGCATAAAAGGTCGAACTGCGGCACCAAACCCACCGTGTCCCACAGAAGATTGAGCTCCGATTGAATCTCATCTATACCGGAAAGACCTCCCGCTCTTACCACAATACAGGTAAAGCCCTCCTCGAGCATCCTGACATCATCAGGATCAAGGTCGGAGTCAGACTCGTAGTCATCGACCACGACACCCTTTCCCCTCTCTGCGGCTAAAGAAGAAGCGTGATTCGATCCGGATGACGAAGGGCCGCCCAAAACGGCAATAGCAGCCTCGGCACCTATTTTTATCTATATATTTTCAATATGCAAAATAACTTCAAAATGGCATATATATGCATATGTAATCATATCCAAGTATTTTATTATTTTTTTCATAATTTTTAAAGGTTTTTAAACCAATTTATTTCCCCTTTTATCCATAAAAACCCAATAATTATTTCCAAAATTATTATTTTTATAATTAATTTGTTGTACTTTTATATTTATGCTAAATATAGCTAAGGTAATTTTGCATATTGTTACAAATTTATTTAGTATTTTTAAGCTAAATTGCGCATAATTGCAATATTAGCCCTTTTAAGATTCAATTGTGTTTTATATTCATAAAATTAAGCCCTATATTTTTAAATTGTTAATTATATGTTATAAGTCATTTTAGTGCTTTTAATTTATTTCCAAAAATTAATTTACTATTTTTATAATTTTAAAAGGGGGAAATTGGCTATTTAAATAATAGCCCAATTGCGTTTCAATTGTAGCCTAAATATGACCCCAAATTAAAACTCAATTTCCCGGCCCAATTCAATTTTAAACCTGACCCCTAACCCAATTTAAACGACCCAACTCGGATTCCCTACCTAACCATTTTAATCCTGGCCGTTGATTATTTAGATCAACGGCCACCGTCCTCCTTTTCCATTTTTAACCTTAAATGACCTCTTACCCTACCTCATTCTTCACCAAATGCCGCCCTTGAAACCCACTTCTCTCAATTCTCTCTCAAACCTCTCATGAACCTTAGCCGCCGCCACTAATCCACCCTAATCCACCTCAACCCCTGCCTAATCCATGGCCTCTTATGGTCATTTGAGATGTGTATCAGCCTCCTATGGCTCCTGGGTGATTGTTTCTGTGGTTTCATGGCTGGACCTCGAAGGGATCTAATCCAGTCCTTGCTCGACTTCTGTTCATGGCCTTTCGCTGGCCATCCATGACCTTTCTCCGGCCATTCATGGCCTTTCAAAGCAGATCCTTGACTTTCCTGGTTAGATCGGTAACTTTCAAGGTCTTTCTCACCTTTTTTGGGTTTTCCGAAATCCTAATCTTTAAGATCTTTTGATTTTCTTTCAGATCTACCATAGATTTGTGCTTACTATGAACTTCTGAAGTATTTTCGTGAAGGTCTCTCGATTTTTTTTCAAAACAACTCTTCATTTTTCAACGATTAGGGTGTTCCTTTAAGTTTTTTAAAGATCTTGTCTCTGATTTTAATGTTGTTTGTGATGTTGCTATGTTTAAAACGACTTGCTTATTTCAGCATGTTAAAACCCTAGTTCCCTTTTTGTCTTATCCGAATTCTGAAACTGTGTGTTTAAATGTGTGCTTGTTTGATTAAGTTCTTTGTTTCGACTTTCTTCTCCTTGTTTGACTTATCTGATTTGAGTTCTTTTCATCTCTTAAGCTCGACTACCGTTGAGGCTCTAATTTCGTAAAAGGGGTTTTTCTTACTTATTATTACTGTGAGACCTTTCCTTGTTTCTGATTTCTCTTACCTGATACTATGTTCTTTTTCACTGTTGATTCTATATTATTACTTGACCTACTTGACTACTGAGCTTCGAATATTTTTCTCACTATTGAATCCTAGCTTATTTCTGCTACTACTGCTTGTTTGTGTTATCTCTTTTGCCAATGTGTTTGGCCTCGCATGTCTGATGCTTCTGTTCACTCTATTTATATACTGAAGTGCAGAATCATGTTTCTTCCTTGATTGATCTTGATCTGGTGACTGATTACAAAAGCTTTTCTTTTATGAACCCTAATTTCACTCGCCTATTTAAAATTAATTGATTCCTTTCCCTTTACTAGATGTTTTACCTTGCTGAATCCTTTCCCAAAATAAGCTTATTTTGTACTTCGACTTGATTATTTACTTCATACTTTTACTGCCCCCTTATATGGCAATAATCAATCTATCCCCAAATTAATTAATTTCCTTAATTAAGCCTGCTACTACCCGTTAAACAGTGATTCCTTAATTGAAGGGAATCACTTGTGTTAATTGATTCTGACTTGTGATTGTTTCCATGTTTGTGTTAAGACTTTACTTATTACCTTACTTTTCATTCATTTTCAAAACTATAAATGCTCACCCTTTCTTCTTTCAAAAACACAAACAATTTGAGTTCAAGAACACACACTTACACTCAAAACTTTCTCTTTTTTCTCTACTACTACTTGTGCTACTGCTTTGCTTAGCCGGGTGAAAGTCAAGGCTAGACTGTGGAATCTTGCTTATTTCTTTCTTTCTGCACTTTGCTTCTTTACTCGTATGTCCTAATTAATTTTTAAGCATCAACAACAACATGTTTCTTTAGTTGTTTTAGTTTCTTTCACTCTTGCCTACTTCTGCTCATGTTTATACAGTCGAGTTACATTATTAGCATGCTGTAATATGCTCCCGCCCCTTTTAAATTAATGTTTCCCTATGTATGTACTATGTCAGTCACTTGTTATGTGTTTGCTGACTTATGAATCCCAAACCCCATATCCCCTCTATGTGTTTGTGTTCTCTGGTTGGTTTGTGGGCATGTCAGAATCATCTAT